TACCTGGTTTTCGAGAAAAAAAAATGGGTCTCGCGGTTCCGGTTCTCGTATTGGAACCCGGTAGAATTGGGGAACCGAGGGAACCTCCCAATAGGATTTTCCTTTGTTCCTCCTCCCTTTTCCTTTGTTCGTACTAACTTTTTTTCGCAACAGCTCTCGTTGGTTTTGTACACGTTTTCTAATCGAGTAGAGGTCGTTCTCGATTCTGTTCCTGTCCTCGATTCACCGATGATGTTGCACGTGTGTGTCCTCGATTTACACCATAAACAAACGCACACAGAGAAATAGACTGTTCTGTAATTCATTAGCCCCTCCCACTTTGCATGTTTTTCAGACATTTGGATGGGCAGTCTCGGCTGTGATTGGTCAAAACATCATAAGGCAGGGCTTAATCAACCCTAGATCTAAACTTTGTTAGCAAACCAATTTCAAAACTCAAGAAAACTTCATTTTTTAAAACCTGTTTTATCTACAGATTCAGATCTGGACTTGACTATGTCGTATGTGTGTGACATAACAGAACCATATAGCTATATTAAATTACTAGAGCGCTAACTCGATGTACCTTGTAATGCCTGATGGGCGCATCCATGTTTGCTTACAAACCTATGGAAAACTCGAAATTTTGTACGGCTTTTGTACGGCTATATTTGCATATCTGCGTTTGTATTCCATGCCGGTGCGTCATCAAAGCCAATACGTCCAAAACCGAAACGCACGATCAGCAAAATAATGAGCGTTTCATTTTGCTCTACGCAAACAGCGCATCGTGTGTACGTCCCTCAACTACAGACGCTTTTCGCCGTGACGCTTTTTGAACCGTCATGACGCGCTTAACCCTCTATATACCAAGACCAATAAACAGTTGAGGAAAATTATAATAATGAATTTTTTTCAAAATGGGGGGTGAAATTTAAAAAAAAGAAAACTTGAAAATTGATTAACGACTTTTCTAATTAATGAGCGTAGCATATATATGCTACATTAGAGGACAATATCGTGATATTATTTACACACATGTAAAAACGTATGTAGAATATTGTTATTCTTTATTGTCACACATGTAAATACGTACGTACCATATGTGCTGCATTGGCTTATACGGTCTAATGTCCATGTACAATGACCATCTGTACACGTACGCACTACACCGTCATCATCCATAGGTGCATATATGCTACTGGTGTTTTCATAAAGATCCTACTACAAGACCTGAAAGAAAGGGCAGGACAGGAGACTGGTGACAAGTCTATGATTGGTTGATTTGCTCTCCTTTAATTACTGATTGCTCTCAAAACTACAATGACTAGTGCAGGGCCCGTCAAGAAATGCACCTGTTCGGTAGGGGCAATGTCAAAATGCTCATATCATGAAAACAACGCACACGATTCAATTGTGTTGTTTTCACAGGTTAAACTCACACTCATAGGTTGAGCGCACTTTGTACATGTCGCCAGGCCATCCCCGGCACTGATATTCACCCATACTGTGTGTGGTAGGCCGTGGTTCTACAAGAAAACCAAATTAATACAATAATTAATATTGGAACCTACATATGAGGTGACATGGAAAACACATGAAAATGGACTAAGTTACATGCAATAAATTTCACCAGTATCAACTAAATTATCTAACAAACTGAGAGATTAGATAAGCTATTATAATTAAGCCCCAAATTACACTAAATTAACCAGCAATAATGATTAAATACGATGACATAATCTTTAGTTAAAGATCAATAAAATGTACGTACATGTACCCATATAACAACTATGATGAAACCCACGTTATTTATTCATTACAAAACCCCCACAAAATATCCCTTAAATCATCTATAAATCTACTAACTTTTAGCTTCTACGCACGGCCGCTGATGGACGACATATACAGATGATTAGGAAAATTGGGTTTAACCGGGGATTTTATGTTTGATTGAAGGAACAATTGAGAGATTTATCGGAATGATTTCAGGACAAATGTGACTAAAGTGGAATCACTTTGGAATTTTCTAGATTCATAATCACAAGAGGGCGCTATACCAGTTAAACGCTCAGACACTGTCGTACAAGACCAACACCTTTTTCTTTGAAATAAGAGCTTTATGTTAATCTACTTGATATGGGAAAGACGATGAACAATGAAATATTGACCTGGGGTCATTCCATGTCAGACCAACGCACTTTTTTACCTCATGTCTTCCGATTTTGATAAAAATTGCTGTGCTTGTAGGTCCTAATGAGCAATGAATACACACCAATTTTTAGCCCGATCCGACCTACCATGTGGTCAGGGCAGATGCCACAAAAAATGGCATTTTTAGAGTAAAATACCACCCTTTTGGTATAAATATGTCAAAACTATGGCAATTTTCATCGAATATATGTGAATTTGGTATTTAAATAATGAGGATTGCATGCTGAAATCACTTCTTTTGTCAAAATTAAATTTTGTGAAAAGTAGGTCACGTGACCTTTAATATGCCATCGTGACCTTTGACCCAATTTTTGTAATAATGTATCATTCCGAAAATCAACGAAATAAAAATAACTTGCTAGAGCATGTCTTCCTCTATCAGAATCTACTAACAATCAGTTGGGGTCTTCAAAATTTACAACTTTATGACTATTTTTGTACAGTTGGTAGGTTACAAATGAGTCAATTTAATATAGACTTTACATAAGAAATACACCAACACGACTTACTATTCTGTTTCTTAAGTTACTAAAATTAATCTAGATTTGTATGTATAAAGTACAAAGCCAGGAAAAAGAAAATTCTACCTTCTGATTCCAAAGAAACTGTCTAATCATATGAAGCCCGGGAAGGGACAGGGTGGATTTTTTTTTTGGAATTTCCTAATTCGTTCGCACGAATTACTAAATCGTTCGCACGAATTGCTAATTCGTTCGCACGAATTGCTAATTCGTTCGCACGAATTAGTAATTCGTTCGCACGAATTGCTATTTCGTTCGCACGAATTCCTAATTCGTTCGCACGAATTACTAATTCGTGCGAACGAATTGGTAATTCGTGCGAACGAATTACTGGAGTTTGCTAATTCGTTCCCACGAATTAGTAATTCGTGCGAACGAATTGGTTTCGTGCGAACGAATTACTGGAGTTTGCTAATTCGTTCCCACGAATTAGTAATTCGTGCGAACGAATTACTGGGGTTATTCGTGCGAACGAATTGGTAATTCGTGCGAACGAATTACTGGAGTTTGCTAATTCGTTCCCACGAATTAGTAATTCGTGCGAACGAATTAGCAATTCGTGCGAACGAATTACTAATTCGTGCGAACGAATTAGCAAACTCCAAAAAAAAAAATTCCCTTCCCGGGCTTCATATAATCAGAATATCTGGACTCGGAAGTGTGCTAACCACTAACAGTAACCAGGCCTGCTGGGTGCAGATCAGTAAATCGGTCCGAAATTGCCTGCGCCGGCCAAATCACGATTTGCATGCCCTCAAAATCTTCGGTATTTGGGCATGCTTTGGGACATGAACTTGAGGGTTTGTAAAAAATATGGGTGGAAGCCGTGCACAGGACTGGGAGCTTGCAGTTCTGTGTAATTTTGATGTAATTTGGACCCTAAAAGCGCTCTATTTTGCAATGGAGTGTAGGCATCGTTTTTCAAAATGGCGATGGGCTTCAGGACTATTTTCAGGGGTGATCATCTTCAGATGGAAATTTCTCCTAAAAGTCATCAGTTGACCCCCCGAAAATTGAAAAGAAAATGAAAGATGATGAAATAAGCTTTAATTTGATGTGCGTCTGGAACACCTTGGAGAGTTGTGAGTATTTTTCCCGAATTTTTGAAGTGGGAGCATTTACCATTGGGGTCTATGGAAGTTTATTTACTGGTCTGCTACCTGCTGACTGCACTGATCTTTGTTATTTACTGGACAAAACATGACACTTGAGGGCGCTAGAATTCGTGCATCAGTCAACACACATGACACATGGCATGCATAGTGTATGCAATTTAGCATCGTGCACAACAGTTGGGGATTTTTTGTTCATTGATTGGCAGTCTTTTCTTTGGACAGTGTGAAAACAATGTCTCAATCTCAGCATGCTCAGTGTTCAGTAGGACTGTGCCTAAAAGAAGAATGTTGTGATGACGCTGAACATTTACAACCGAAAGATGAGGAATTACAGTGTCTGCGTCTCAGATCAGGTTGTGAAACAGTAACCACAGTGTGCTGTGATCCTCTCAACCTTCATACTGGTAAGGTGCATGCCCAAGGGCTGCGAGAAATAACATTGGAACAATCGCAAAAAACATCACTATGGTCTCATACCTGGAAAGAAACTCTGCCGCAGCTGTCGTTCATCAATTTTCAACGTGTCTGTACCACCACAACCTAAACTGTCTTCGATAAGATCAAGTACTGAACCTGTACTATCTTCAAGTACTGAATCATCTGATGAACCATCAACAAGTCAAGCTTACCCATCTCAGACCCAGTGGCGTCACCAGACTTTTCAGTCTGGGGGGGCACAGGGGGGCACCAGCATTTGATGGGGGCACTTAGGTGGATACGGATCGCCGTCCTTTGGAAAATTTTCGCATACGGAGGATGGGCTAGATGCAAAATGGTGCCACATTTGATGCTAAATTCGATCTGAAGATATCTCCAGAAATTGCTATTTAACCAACTCAGATGATGGGAGTTGAATATAACAAAATATATATATATTTTTTTACCAACCCAAATCTCAGATGGGGGGGCACTCGGGGGGGCACTAGGTTTTCCAGGGGGGGCACGTGCCCCCCTGGCCCCCCCTTGGCGACGCCACTGCTCAGACCCCCATTCAGGAAGTGGCTGCCACTGCATCACTCTCATCGGTAAATCGGGCTCTTCATACAATTGGGGTTACTCCAATTATGCGTAGAAAACTTGGTCATAAAAAGTACCAACAAAAGAAATTCAAGGCAATTGAAACCAGATTGACATCACAGCATGGAATTCAACAAGTTCCCAAACCTTCAACTTCTGAGGAAATTTTGGAACAATTGAAAGAAAAATTTGTCACTGCTACAAACAGCGAGAAGCTTCAGATTCTCACAATTGTACCGAAGAGTTGGAGTATTCGCAAAATTATGCAGGAATTCCAAACCAGTGACTGGATGGCCAGGAAGGCAAAACGACTGGTGAGACTGATTTTCTTTTTCTCTTTGTTTTTGCCTTTCTTTATCCAGATAAAGCCAAAAAATAGTTCTGCTTCTGGTTTCCCTACCTACCCTATTATGGCAGCCCCTACCCTATTTTTTCTATGGGAAAAATGAGGAAAAAACACCAAAAATCATCAATTTCTACCTTTTACCCTTGACTACACGCAGACGCCTCTATAAGATTGTACACAAAAGAAATTGGCAAAATAAAAAATTTCCCTACCTACCCTATTTTCGAAAGCCATGTAATCGGAAACAGAAATTTTTTTGGGCATAAAGTAACAGTACTGCCTTTACATTTGTAATGTATTTTGCTGATAAATTTGTTGTAAGCAACATTGTATCAGTTTATTTTAAATTTAACTCCATGGCGGTTTTGGCCAAACAATCACTTCATAACAATAGTTAATTGACAATAATGCATGCATAGTCGTGATTTTTTTTTTTTATACGGAACCATGTTACAAAAAGCCCTTATCACACAAAAAATGCTCCCCCAATAGTCGGATAGTTAGACTTATATCATTTTTTGTTCAATCATGTCTCCTTCAGGTTGCTGAAAAAGGAATTTTGTCCTCACCCAATCCTCGCTCTGGGAAAACTCTCAGCGAAGATGTCGTCAACCACGTGAAAAGTTTTTATGACAGTGATGATATCAGTAGACTGATGCCGGGGAAGAAGGACTGTGTGTCCATCCGAGAAGGTAACCAACGGATTATCTGCCAGAAGCGTCTGCTTTTGTGCAACTTAGATGAAGCATACAGGGCATTCAAGGACAAGTATCCAGAACTGAAGGTGGGTTTTTCGAAATTTGCCGAATTAAGGCCCAAGTATTGCGTTGTAGCTGGAAGTAGTGGTACACATTCCGTGTGTGTCTGTACCCATCATCAAAATGTAAAGCTGATGATCCATGCCGTTGACATTCCTCGTTTTCGTGGATCCTACAAAAACCTGCTTGCTGAAATCACCTGTAATCCTGGCACAACGGACTGTTTCCTGGGAAATTGTTCTATGTGTCCCAAGGTTGCTGACCTGAAGCAGCATATCATGGAGGAGATAGAAGATGAGGCTATCGATGAAATATGTTACAAGCAGTGGGTATCAACAGACAGATCAACATTAGAAACCATGACAGCAGAGGTTGATTCATTCTGCGATCGGTTTTCGGAGAAGCTTCTTCAGCTGAAACGGCATGAATTCATTACTGACCAGCAAGCAAAGTACCTGAATCACCTGAAGTCAGAGTTGCAGCATGGTGAAATAATTGTTCTTGGGGATTTCTCAGAAAATTATGCATTTGTTGTTCAAGATTCATCTCAGGGATTTCACTGGACAAATGACCAAGCAACACTGCATCCGTTTGTGATCTACTTCAAAAAAGACAACCAGCTTCTCCATCTCAACTCTGTTGTTATCTCTAACAGCCTCATCCATGACACCATCGCAGTTTACTGTTTCCAACGAAGGCTACACAACTACCTTGCGCAGACAATGCAGGTGCGCAAAGTATTCTACTTCACAGATGGATCTTCTGCACAATATAAGAACAGAAAGAACTTTGCAAACTTGACCTGTCACAAGGATGACTTTTCATCTGATGCTGAGTGGCATTTCTTTGCCACATCACATGGGAAAGGACCGTGTGATGGATTGGGTGGAACTGTAAAGCAATTGGTCGCAAAAGCCAGTCTTCAGAGACCAAATCTTGAATGCTCAGCAGCTGTATTCGTGGGCCAAGGTGAATATTCCAGGAATACAGTTTGATTTTGTGGACAAGAGTGAAGTGCAACAGTGCGGAGAATTCCTTGAGAGTCGATTCTCATCAGCAGTGACTGTTCAGGGTATGCAACAGCTCTATGCTTTCTACCCGCACCCAGTACAGCGGACTCACGTCCAGGTGAAATTCATCTCAAAGGAACAAAATGCCAAGTCTGTGAGAGTCATTAAAGTTCAAGAAGCACAGTAATGAATGAGTAAAGGTAACTTTGATTGTAATATTAAGTATTATCTTCAAGCAAACTTGAATCCTAGACCCTGATTAGTCCATGTATAGCATCAACTGTGTGATTTTATATAATATTGCACAGCTACCGGTATATTGCACCCCAGATATTAAAAATGTACGTGTACATATGTTGTGTTATTTTCTGTTGGACGGACCAATACACTACATGTATGCACGTACATCTTCACCGCATGTACGCATTTGATATCAAGTTTGCTTGAAGATAAATTGGATATAAATCCCACTTGCGCTGGTGGAACACGGAATTATGTAGTGCATCGAGTGGCATATGGGTCACGGCAGCATTGCATTATTTCATATTCCAAGCGCGCTCGTGGGATAACTAATTATCAGTGGCACCCAGGAGGGGGGGGGGAGGGGCTTGAACCCACCCCCAACATTGTCAATTTGTTTGTTTGATTTTAGGCTAGTTTTTGTTTGTCCAATCTTCTACAGAAATTTGAACGAAAAACGATGTATGACCCCCCCCCCCACCAAAAGCCAAATCCTGGGTGCGCCACTGCTGATAATTTACACTATGAGTCTGGTTAGACCTCATCAGCCCTCAGAATGAGAAATTCACAAACCAAGATATATTTTAGTAACTTTAGAAACAGAATAGTAAGTCGTGTTGGTAAGTCTATAAATTGACTCATTTGTAACCTACCAACTGTACAAAAATAGTCATAAAGTTGTAAATTTTGAAGACCCCAACTGATTTTTAGTAGATTCTGATAGAGGAAGACATGCTCTAGCAAGTTATTTTCATTTCGTTGATTTTCAGAATGATACATTTTTACAAAAATTGGGTCAAAGGTCACGATAGCATATTAAAGGTCACGTGACCTACTTTTCACAAAATTTAATTTTGACAAAAGAAGTGATTTCAGCATGCAATCCTCATTATTTAAATACCAAATTCACATATATTCGATGAAAATTGCCATAGTTTTGACATATTTATACCAAAAGGGTGGTATTTTACTCTAAAAATGCCATTTTTTGTGGCATCTGCCCTGACCACATGGTAGGTCGGATCGGGCTAAAAATTGGTGTGAATTCATTGCTCATTAGGACCTACAAGCACAGCAATTTTTATCAAAATCGGAAGACATGAGGTAAAAAGTGCGTTGGTCTGACATGGAATGACCCCCTGGCAATCACCTCCAACATGTCCAACTTTGTACAACGCCGTGAAAAAGCCTCAATTTCCCAAAACGAAATTTAACGGATGACCGCATTGAATCTTGACAAACAATGGCATCACCTAATTAACTACATGTATAACTGGTAGAGGGGGCTATAACACTTCTAGAAGTGTAGCTTAAGTGCTACAATGGGTGATAAGTGATGTAATTTTTTTGATATGCCGGGCATTTGCCCCCCCCCCCCCAGATTTTCCCAAGTGCCCCTTTTGCGGCCATTAATGTTCCCCCTCGCCTCGAGCACAAAAGTGCCCCTTCGAGATAAAAAAAATGCCCTTCAAGTATCTTTCTATTTCTTAGAAGTAACCATTTCCCAATATTGGTATAGATAGTTTTGATATAAACGAGGAATATGAAAACAAAGCCCCCAAAACCCATACAATACGCCCTGAAAAGGGGCACAGGGGCACATAATGCATAGTGGGCATATAATCATAAGTTTTGAAGAGCGCCCCCTATGTTGGAAGATGGTACCAGCCCCCCCCCCCACCCACCCCCCCCCCCCACCCCACACCCCACACCCCCCATTCCTTGATTTTACAAAGGTCAAGTATCCGGTGAAAAACACGTTTCGACCTTTTCAGCATGGATGTGCCAAAAAAAAAAATATGCTGACACCGATGACTTGTGACTGGCGAGTCACATGCGTACTCTTTACCAACAACTATTTTGAAGAAGTGACTTGTGTATATTGGTACATTGTTTTAATGTACTGTTTGTGCTTGACTAGACCGCAGTACTCTGGATCGAGTCTATTACGAGTCACTGATTTGGTGATGACTTGGACTAGACATGAGTTATTCCAAAAACTAGATTTTGGAACATATTCTCTTGTATTTTGGTATGGTGCTCTATTGCATGCAATCGGAATGGTTGTTTTTGATATGAACTGTATGCTGGAATAGTACAATAGTGGCTTGTGCATGACCACTCACACGAGCTTGAGGAAATAAAGTGTTTGGGATACATCTCTTGGGGTGAGCATTTATGATGTGATCAAGCACAGTAGAATTGAGCAAGTTTCATCTTCTTATAGGCACCTGCTGCACAATCATGAAGAGTCTGTCTAACACCTGATACCAACTGTCGTTCCAGAGGACTAGTCACGCTGAACACAATTTATTTAGAGTGACACAAGTCCACCCGAATAGATTTTGGTTTCAGATGGGGTGCATGCTTTATGTACTAATTTCCCACTTGTTATGCTGGAGTTGTTTCAAATGATGCAACAGTTGATGTTCTGAAGTATTTGGAATGTGAAACTCTGGCTGCCAGTCATAAAACTGTGTAACTCTTGCTTTCTCAGCATTGACAGGGGACTTAGTTATTACTTTCTTGACTATTTGTAATGATTTCACATTTCTTTTTTTTCCAGCTGATTGCATTGTGCTGAGTCCCCCTGAGCATGGCTATTACTCTAGACGTTATACAGCTAATGAAGTGGTTGAGCATGGAACAGTAATGGAGGTAAATGCTACACATGTAATAAAAGCTGAGGTTTGTGTGTACTCATACTTGGCGTGAAATTAAAAAAATGAATTCATAAGCAAATATGTGCACTGTGCAGGTTTGTAGTACTCGTACTTGGCACTCGTACTCGAGTACTACTCGAGTGCTTTTTTGGAGTACTCGCACCCGTACTCGTATTTCAATGTCAAAGTACTCGTACTCGAAATGACGGTACTCGTACTCGGGCAGCAAAGTACTCGTACGCGACATACTCGATCATCAAAGTACTCGTACTCGAAAAGCAGTACTGGAAAAAAATATGGTATAGTTTGACTCACCACGGCCTCATTTTATTATCGATACTTTCAGTTGGAAATGGTTGATTGGCTTGCAAGTCCCCTGATTTTTCTCTGTGCATGTCCGGACAAACACATTTAACAGCTAGCCGTGAGTGGGTCTGTACATCGGTCTGACTGGGCCTGGGCCAATTACACACAATGAACCATTTGCCGTATGGCCGTATTCGGAAATAGAAGTACTCGTACTCGTACTTGTACTCGGAAGTAAAGGTACTCGTACTCGGAGACCTGAACTTGTACTCAGAAGTACAAAGTACTCGTACTCGGAATACATGTACAAGTACTCGTACTCGTACTCGGAAGTAAAGGGTACTCGTACTCGGAGACCTGAGCTTGTACTCGGAAGTACAAAACACCCGTATTCGTACTCGGTAACCTAAGTACTCGGCAGTACTTGGTACTCGGAAAAAGAATTACTCGACTACAACACTGGCACTATGGCAAGTATTTGCAGTACATTCTTTATAAAAGTTGCTTTCAACTCTGTTAAATATTTTGAGAGTCAAATTCGCTCCTGCATTCTCATTCAAATAAAGTTTGAACCGTTATTCAGTTTGCTATAGAACTATGTGAATGTACATATTCCTGGTATGAATGCTTTTTACATGTACTTCTGCGTTATTCAGTATACACAGATAATACAGGGTGAGGCAAAATGAAAGTGACCAAAATAGAAAACAATATTTAAAAAATACGTGGCTCGCTCATATTCATTAAACAAAATTAAACTCAGTACATTTTATTGACTACAGTAGTAACTGTGAAAATGTCATGTTATTTGCAAATCCATTTCCAACTTACGTCTATTTTAATATGAAGATCACAACATTCAGCTGTCTACCACTGATCATTTACTGTTTTACGAATGAGTAAAACACACTGAAACATTGACGTTTTCCTACCTCAATAAATGGAGGAGAACTTGCAAAGGAAAACATGCCAAAATCGTCAAAAATATTTCAGAAAAACATAGATGACTTGTTTGTCGTATGCAAAACACACATTTTGACAGTAAAATTAATGTTGCAGTTGTGATTTAAATGATTAAAATCTCGTTTGTGTTTGAATCATGGGCGTAGCGAGGGGGGGGGCAAGGGGGGCACTTCCCCCCCCCCCCCCCCCCGGAAAAGCAAAAAAAAAAAAAGAGGCGCGAAGACAAAGTGGTGTAAATTTAATGAGTTGGGGGGGGGGGCAAAATGTCCCTGCCCCCCTCTAAAACTGATAAATCGAGAATGTGTTGAGAAATACAAGCATTTTTTGGCAAACAAAATTGTTGCCCCCTCTAGAAAAAATCCTTGCGACGCCCATGGACTTTGAATGCTTGTGTGTAATCTGTAATTCTCACTCACCTCAATAGCTTCAAATGGCAATCCAAGGACAGCTATAAATATGGGTTCTCATAACTTCTGATAACGTGGATCAATTTCATAATTCGTTTTTGGAAGTGAGTGGAAAAACATGCTCCTTCAAGGTATACTTCATTGATGTTTCAAATTTGATTGCTTTTTAAGAAAACAAAAATCATTAATTCGGGTTTCTGTCTTTTTGACTCGCCCTGTAGTAGACAAAGAAAAATATCGACACATGTCAAGGATGGACTGAAAACTTCACAAAAACTAAAAGAATTACCAGATTCACGATAAACACAAACAGTGATGCAGATATGTCAATATATATGGCTGTGCTAGACGTAACATATCGTAAAATATCCACCATGGAAATTAAAACTAATCAAGATTTTTTTACAGGTTTCATTTTATTTTCTTTCAAAAACTTTTATGAACTTATTCTTACATTACCATCGCAGATTGTATGCAGTAGTCGGTACAGCTTGAACAGTGATGAGGAATACACATGTACCAATGGACAGTGGTCGTTTGATGCAAAGTGTGTACCAAGTAAGTTTGAAACGGTTCGTCATACATATTTATGAATCATAAATGTAGTATCCTCACTAACAAGTTAGCACATTTCAGGCCAATATTCAGGCTATAGCCTGAATTCATGCTTTTTCATGTTTTGATAAACCAACTAAGCCATTCCATCCCTTCACAGGCTGGGAAAAAAAATAAATCCTCGCGTAGCACGCATAGAAGAAGAAGAAAAAAGAAAGTTGCATGCAGTGCTCCATAGCAATCCCCATTCTAGCTCGATACATGTGTGTATGAATTGAAAGCTCGAAGTAGACAAACATGTACACATCATGTGTAGTATTGCAATGTGGTGGTGTATCGCAGTTGCTTTGTGCATGTCGGCCATCTTTTACATGTCAATTTTTTCTGGCATCCCTGATAAAACTCAGGGAATATATTTTCATGGTGTGGCATCCAGATCCTGGAGTCCACATGAGTCCCCATCTCAGACTATTATAAGAGAAATAAGAGACACTTGCCATAGTGTCACACACACACACCCACACACAGAAATGGGCTGTTCTGGAATTTATTAGCCCCTCCCACTTTGCAAGTTTTTCAGACATTTGGATGGGCAGTCCGAACTGTGATTGGTCAAAACATCATGGGACAGGGCTTAACCCTAACTCCCTAGCATGATTTACTAGGAACCATATACCCGTCCTGGCAAATTCCAACACTATATGGGAAACTGAACACACATATTTCTGACTTTGATTTTGAAGGTGTGTCAACCCAATGTAAAAGACCGTCCTTACAGATTCCAACAAAACATGCCGTTGGGGTTTGATGGGTGGAGTTCTGTTAGGGTTAATCAACTCTAGAACTTTGTTAGCAAACCAATTACAAAACTTTAGGAAACTTCATTTTTTAAAACTGTTTTAGCTTCAGATTCAGATCTGGACTTGACTATGTCGTATGCTTGTGGCATATTAACAGAACTGACTTTCCAACTTCTTTATTTACACAGCTCCCTGTTCCAAGCTACCAGAACTACTGAATGGACTTATTGTATATAACCCAGAGTTGGTGAATCAGTCCCTGCCCACCGTCCCTCATGACACACGGTCTACATACACATGTCTGTATGGCTTTGAATTGCAGGAAAGGCACAATGCACCGCAGTGTTACTATGGCACTTGGCGTTATAAAACATCAGAGCCAGTCTGTTCACCAAGTAAGTCTTCCCGGGGTTATCTTCTACTTAATAATACTAAGGGAATAACAGTGTGAGGAGCCGGTCTTCACTGCGTGATAATGACCGGGTGTAGGGGTGACCGCTGTTAATGGACCGAGACGAAGTCGAGGTCCATTAACCATGTTAACAGCGGTAACCCCCACACTCGGTCATTATCACGCACTGAAGACCGGATCCTCACACTGTTATTCCCATTAATAAATACCTTTTTAAGGAAAAAAACAGTTAAAATGCTCCAATTATTTGTGACTTTCTTTCGGCGATATTTCCAGACTTTTGTGTGTTCATGTTCATGGGCCATATTTTAGCTTAACAGCTTTAACGACGTAAACTCAACAGAAACTGCTGCCGTAGCGAAACAAATTACAACAATGTTTTCATATCTTTACCTGATGGAGGAAGCTGAAATCTCGTTTACACATTCCTTGTGTCCGGAATTACAAAGATGCTTGGTTTAGGAAAGGTAAATATGCCGGTGGGTGAAGTGTTCAAAGAAAATAAATCGTAGATCTACGCTTTCGTCGTAAACATCCTCAGTATATACTGCACTGCTGTACGATGTCGTTTCAAAACTTCCTTACGCGCGCGCACGCAAGCATCCCTAGCAACTGTGTTGCGTACGCGCGCGTCAGTCTCACGCGATGGGGGTTGAGCGCATGTGCAGTGCTCAATTGTTAAAAGCTACCGCAGGACTGTTACTATATTTTGACCAATCATTGGCTTGCATGGGGCTGAACGGGGCTGGATCAATGCTGGTTCAGGGGCCATTTATTCGCTTGATCTTTGAAGGCGGTCCATTATCACCGTTAATGACCGGCCACGTGATCGAGTCTCGACCAATCAGAGATCATCAACTCTCCAAGGTATTTATTAATAACATTTACAACGTTTGCCCAAACAGGGCTGACTGTGTGGCACAAATGGTGACGGACAGTAGCAATAAAGGCAAATGATCTTCCTGATGAGTTGCTTCGAAGTTTTTTTCCAAAATCGCTCACTCACACATTTAGCTTTCCAGGTTGAAAAATACCTTTTTCCAAAGTCAACATTCTCCAATAACTTCATTGCTTTCCACATAGTAAAACTTGCAGCACTGTGCACCATTATTTTGACTGCACTTGGAGTAGGCACATTTGAAGGCCTAGGTAAAAATATGCTGCAGTGGAACGCACACGTCGCCCTAATTTGTTTATGGCACTGCTCATTGATTGGCGAAAACAGTGTGTTAACTATTGACTCCATTCACAAATAAGTAACCCCCGCAGCTGTGGACAGTAAGGTCTTAAGGCACCGGCATTACAGGACATTATTGGTACATCTTGTGTGAAAACAGGGACGGTGAAATTAGACACGAAAATAAGCTATCACAGTCATTTTCGTTTAGTCACAAGGAGACTGTTAAAAGTTTTAAACTAAGATAGGTATGTAGTAACATTGAATACATGTGGTCAGTATTTTCTCATACCAAACTATGATCTCAACAATGTCCATGTATACAGATACGTCTTTGCATCATCTGTGTAGACCAACACTTAGATATTTGCGACACCTACACGTACACGCCTATGGCTGTAGCAAATTCATCGTGCACAGTTGCCCCCCCCCCCAGCTGTGGAATAGAAATTGTTACGTCCTTTGATCTGAAACAGTTGACAAACGTCATATGCCATTTCCAAAAGGTTTATTACTTTCTTTTTTGTTGTTTATTAATTCCAGAAGGATTGGAAAATCATCATCCGTAACAATGTTAACCCAAGTTCAAATAAAAATTGAAGTATCTTCTTTCACCAAATTACTTCAGAGTTGTGCAGTCAGGAAGATTTGCGGTTTGGCAGCGTACGTTACACTAAGAACAATGAAGAATTCAGTGTCCGGGACCAAGATCCCCATCATGGTGTTTCCAGGACCTTTCAATGCAGCCGCGGTTACAGTCTGGTCTCGGCCCAGACAGAAGCATCAGTATGTGTAGATGGGGTGTGGAATACGCCACTTCCAGCATGTGGGCCAGGTAAAACAATTATATGCTTTTGTTTTTCGACCAATGTTGGATGCTTTGAATCGGTACATATTTTTACTTCAAAAAAATTCTCGACTTTTTAAACTGTTGGGCACCCAACGGTTAGGTCTTAAACATGTCAAGAAAGTCAGTGCAATTGGCCATGTCAAATTATAAGAGAAAAAAATACTTCCATATAAGAACTTTGGTTAATATGTGCCCAAAAAAACCAGGTAAATATCTGAAACACTTTATTTTATGTATGCTAGTCCGGATACTTTAAGACTTCCTGTGCTTGTTTGCTATGAATCTTTATGAATCCGACACACTGCTACTGTGAACAGACCATGGGCGCCTTCTTACATGTACTCTTAACTGTCAAGCCTAGACCTCTTCCGAATTACTTGGCTATGACTGGAAATTACACATCGGCCTTTGAAAGCATTTGCAGTCACTTCCCATCGACCCGTGTGTTATATCCAGCTGTAGCCAGGTAATTCAGACAAGGCCCTAGACTAGAGTACGTTGCTCAATCCTCCAACAATCCTCCAGGCTGATAATCAAGGATAGAGGGTATTTTATGAAAGAAATTTAATGTGAATAGTAAATATGCACAGTTAAAAAAAAAATATGCCTGTATTGTTGACCTTTACGGAGATATTTATGAAATGAAAAATTGCCATGAAATTATTATTATGCATACTACATATTATGCATACTACATATTATATGGACATTATCCACGGCGCATTTGAATGGTTGTTGAGCGGGTTTTCTTTGGTAGGATTGATGTCGGAAGAACTCTATAAACATTATTCAAATCATTGCTGACAAAAAAATATTGTCGAAAATATCCGCCAGGTGGGGCAAAGTGCCCGCCCTGCCCCCCCCCCATTGGAAACGCCACTGCTTTAGCCACCCCCCCCCCCCAACATTTTATCTAGCGCCCCCCAAAATAAATTCCGTAATAAAAAAATTGCATTAGCAATAAGAAGAATTGTGATGTACATGCGAACGGTCTCCCCCTAAAGAAATAGTCGTGACAAGGTTGCATTTGTAGTTAATATAGTGTGAATGATTTTAGGATTTTATTGGCGCTCCCCATTGAAAATATGGCATGAGACAACCCCCCCCCCCCACACACACACCCACACCCACACCCACACCCACACACACACACACCCAGACACACCCACACACCTATTGATTTTCGGAGGTCTAAGTGTCTGGAGAAAATAACCGGTCTACATTTCAGCACGCCTCCCTGAAAAAAATTCTGGATCCACCCTGCTAGCCCCCCAAAAAATATTGGTTCTAGAACCGCGCCTGCTAAAGATGGTATCAGCATGCGGTTTTCACAGTAGTCATGCTGAGATTGTGATCTTTTCAAATCTGTAAAAAAAAATTACCAGGGTCGACAAACAACTCATTTAGCTTGATCGCATCACATAACGTAGGAACTCATAAGTGCTTATTTTTGTGTCTTTTCCTAAAGATGCTTGCTCTAGACCAGCTGTTGCCGCTAGTTACGTGGAGGTGCAAAGCTTGGGGCATGGCGGTACGGCCCGTGTTACATGTGACCAGGGCCTGAAACCAAGTGTTGGAAATGGTGGTCTACGTTGCCATGCTGGACATTGGGTACCAGACGGCATTGTGTGCATTAGCAGTGGTAAATTGCTTCATTTCCTTGCACCATAGGGTGTTTTGTCTAGCGCTGTATTTTTAGTGTACACACATTTTTAATTAACTTCACACAAAAACCGATGTTGTAGTGAATTTTACTCAGTTGTTAAAACATAGTAGACCAATGTTTCGACAAGTTACTGCCATAACAGCACAGGCAAATTTCCTACTACAGTTTATCATGCTGGAACATGCTGTGTTGCAAGTCTTGTTGTCTGGGTGCGAAGTGGGCTGGATTATGGTCAAATCTTGAGTGAACCATACAAACTACCCACTGATGAACTCATATTTCCCTTTAATATTGGTTTTGCCCTATCTTTGCGAATTCTCAGTGCGAACATTTTGTCAGGGCGTCAGAAGTTTGCATTGATGTTTGTGTGTGTGCTGAGTATGCATATATGGCTTTAGGCTATTGCGACATCCAAGGGCTGCAATAACATCACAGCAAAAGTGCTCCGAGTTGTCACGAAATAGCGGTAGAAATAGCAAAACTAGTGCACGTAAAAAGAGAGTCTTGTTATTTTCCATTCATTTCATACAAGTAGGTTTAGGAATGGACATTTTCCTGTAGTAAGTTTTTGTGTAACATAAAGGAATGAAGTGGAGTCCATCACAAGTAATTCATGAGTCAAAAGAAACAATGAATGATCAATAAAAAAAAAGGAATGCCTTTGTCAAAGCTCATATGAATGGCGTGTGAGTGGAGTTCGACTGGAGGACTTGTGATGGACTTGCAGGGACTTATGAAGAACTCGACTACATCCCTGGTACTAACATCAGTGGTAACTACAGGGGGGTGCATGTGCGCCTCACCCCAGCAGAGGTCCATGCCCCCCGGGTGCCCCACTCCCCATTTACAATCTTGAATTGCACAAACACAATATATCAGTTGCCTCAGTGCCCCCTACAAGTAACCCTTGTTACGCCACTGACTAACATACATTTCATGATCTCGTGTGCTCTTTCTGTGTCACTGCAAAAGATGCGCCATCCAATGTAGCATATGGAAGACCAGCATCGCAAAGCCCAAGATCTGATGAATCTAACAGACAGCAAGCAAGCTTAGCAGTGGATGGAGATAGGACCACAGACAGTGAACATGGCAGCTGCACTTCTGCACGTAAGCTAAAGCTTATTATAACCCATGCAACAGAAAGCAACAATGGTAAAAAAAAGTTCTCTTAAACATCGTTATTTCATCTGTATTTTGTTTTGGTGTGATTTTTTTGGCTAATTTTTGCAGGAAAATCTGGAAGGCAAGTTTTCTGGGAGGTAGATTTGCAGGCTACATACAGTATAGAATACGTGGACATCTATTCCAAGCGCAGTAAGTATGGAAAAGTAACTTTCAGGACCTACATGCAAAGGCATTGTCCTTCTAGAAACTTTGAATTACTGTTAAAAATTCTTAAGTCGGCAGTCTTATGGACTTGTAGATATAAGCCAGATGTTTGATCCATGATGTCCAATATCACCAAACAGTGCATACCCGCCTACCAACATGTGCAGCAGGTGCACAATTGTTTGTAATGCTCAATCTACATAGCTGCTCAACTTATTTATTATACAACTTGTACAAAGACGATCTTTGTTTTTGAAATGGCTGTAAGTGGTTACATTGTATTACCACAAACTAGTCATACTACAAGCTCCATCTACCATCTTTTTGCGAGGGAGTAAACGACAAGTTTGCAATTTTTCTCAAGAACTAATCTGTCAATTGTACCCACCTTCATAAGTGAGATCATCTGATTTTTGATTTGTAAGCTGTAAAGTTATGCCATCTACAATAATGGACTTATGTCATTGTTCAAAGTTTTCATTTAAAATTTTTTAAATCCACTGCTTGGCTACCAGCTGAAGGAAGATCACTACTAATTGAATTGAATGACCTCAGAGCAATTTTTAACGCATGACTAATTCTAAGAATACTTCAAGGTTCTTGACTTCTGATTAGATGGTTATACAGAATTTAATTTGTTATTTATGTGCTGCTTCAACAGGTACATGTAAGGCACCTTACCTGTACCGACCTGTTGTTACCCATGGACAATGCCATTAGCATTATGCCATCCAGGGGAATAAACACTTTTTGAATGATATATTGCTAAAAATCCCAAGATATAAAACACCTGAATGATGAGTCATACCAGCTTGATCATATTTCATTTGTTATTTTACTTTTTCTTAACCATGCTCTAAATGTGGATATCATACTTGTGTTTTTATTCTCTAGAACCCAAACTGATAGGTGCAACAGTCCAAGTCGGATACCCTGATGCCACAAGAGAGTCGTACAGTCAATGTGGTCTCACAATAAGTTCCCAGATGGTAAGAGGTCGTCAGCCCAGTGTGCGAGTGGATTGCAACGGCGAGCTGATTGCTGGGCAAATCATCAGGATCGAGCTGCAGGAATCTGACAAATTAAGTCTGTGCGAAGTAGAGGTGTTTGCTACTGGTCCCATTGCAAGTAAGTCAAGATTTCTTGAGCTGTCTGCCACCCAAATTCTCGCTCTTGTTGTCCAATTCTGGTTGGTTAGTGTTGATATTCTCAGGAGTTCTTGCCATTGGGTCGGTTGTACCACAAACAAACAAAGCCCATTAATTGTCAGTCACAGCGTGCGGTGAGGTATCTCTGTTCAGTTTATGCATGGGATACAAAAGTTGGTCACAATAATGTCATCTGTAGTGATATGATACTTTGCTTCATATTCAAGATAATGTCTCTGGGGAACATGAGTGAGTCTTTAGTAGCAATTGAAATGCTGAAAATATGTAATGGAATTTTTCACGCAGGGTTTCAGGGTGCCTGACCTACTCCGTATAAGAGAATGTAGAGTTGGGGTGATCACTCGGACGTTTTAGTCAGTTTGAGCCAATGAACTTGGTCAATACAGTGGAGTGTCGCTATACCGAACACCGCTATATCGAACATTCGGCTACACTGAACATCGTCCTTGGCTCCCAATTTTTGTGTACAAAATGTACATTGTTGTTGAAAAATGTCAACAGAAGAGCGACAAGTGGCTGTTATTTACCCAAGAAATAGAATTGGAAAGCCACCCATTGCTGTAAGTAGTAAGCTAAAAGCTGTGTAATAACATAGTTCAATAGTTGGCACGTGTTCAAAGTCATCTTGCAGTAACTACCAGGGCGTGCAGGGTTAAGTTCTGAAAGGCTGTATTCATTGAAAAATGATTACCGGAGCACCGACAGGTTAAAATCGCTTTATCGAACGATCGCTATCAGTTACAATTTTTGTGATTTTTAAACTAAGGACCCTTGGAGCTTTTTTTTTTTAAATACATGCTGGCTTTACCAGTCATGTCATCTTTAAGTTCAGAACAACTAATAAAGTCAAAAGTGAATGAAGATGTTTTTGAACCAGAAGCTGCCCCTCATGTCAAACTCTCGGTGTTGCAAAGTGCCATCCCCAAATCTGACTTTGCCCTTCCAAAGATGGTCCACAGTTCGATAGATGAAACTCAGAAGTTGAGTGACCGTTTCTCAACCAATGTAAGTTTTCATTCTAACTTCATGGTCACTGCAATTCCAACTTAATTTGTACAGAATGTACGATCCCTTACATCGCCGGTATGAGACAAACACTGGAAGATGACGGTGGGGTGCTGCTTACCAATGCTCAAGTTCCTCCAGGAACAGGCATTGCCTATAACTGTGAGACAGGCTACCAGCGCAATGGAGCTGTGGATAACCTATGCAGAGGGGAGGGTACCTGGGCTAGACAGCTTCCCGCTTGCGAAGCAGGTAATGCAGTACATGTATCATAGAGCCACATTATCTGAATATAACATAGTTTCGGATTGGATTGTCAGTATAAGCTCTCTGAGGTAGTGGAGGTTGAAAAAGCCAAGGGACAATATTTGCCAATTTCAAATACTGAGGGGAGCTAATATTTATGTTTCATAAAACCCTGGCTCACTATACCTCATACATTTTCAGTTGCCATTATTTTGCAATTTCAGGTAAGGAAACACAACATTACCACTGCAAAATGTGTGTGCGGTTGTCCGTGCAGGAGAATGCTTCAGTGATGAACACCCCTTGTCTAAATTTTACAATTGCTCAACAATACGTACATGCAGTCGACTATTGCATCCATGAGCAACCTGTTCAATAGTGAACTGTGCATGCCTTTTTTTGCACCTGCTTGGATCCTGTGTTCTTATGATCTTTGACATAGGTCAAGATGTTAATATCTACACACACAAATATACACTGCATTTTGTGTGTACATCGACTTGTGAACTAGCTAGGTCAGTATTCAGTGAATTTCACAGGCTTTGAGGATGTGGCCTGTCCTCGTATTCATGAATAATATGAGGTTCGTTCAGTCTGAAAATGTCTTTGTTTGGTAACTTTCTTCATGTTTATCTCCCTGGCTTTTAAGCCAAGAAATTTTATTGAATGAAATAGTGATAGAAACTCTTGTATAGTGTATTCTTTCTTTGTGTCCGAGTGTTCCATTTTTGTTAGGTTAACTGTTTAGTGCTGTCATATGATAAGTCAGACTTCGATCTTGACCAAACTTGGTGACAATAATCTTTGGGTAGAGGGACATAAGTTGAATTGAGACATATGAGGTCAAAGGTCATCAGGGGGTCGAATAGGTCATTGTTGAGTTTGGTTAGGCCATTCAACATTGATATTTCGATTTTCACCACCGGCCATCCTGATTTTTGATGTATTATGTATTATGTTTTGAAAAAGTGTTTTTTTTTTGTCAAAAAAAAAGTTATTTTCCAAACAAGTTTCTCACCAAATCGACAGGCACGGTTGGACCGGTTTGCATGCAAACATTGTGCACGACATACTGAGGTGTTACGCATGCCATAGCGTGCGTGTTTATGCTGTAAATCGAGGACACTCAGGTGCAACATCTATATATATAAGAGAGAGTTTTACTCGGCCCCCGAGATGATGTTGTACATTTTCCCACGGACGTGGAGCGATTTTGGCGTCGCGGAAGACCGCGGTCTCGGATCCTTTCATGAGCAAACATTTCTCGGAGGCCGAGTAAAACTTGCTCTTATATGGATGGTTGAACCAACTTGAATAAAAGTTGAATCTACTTTTACCTCGCAGACGGTCTTGCAAATTGAAAGAAGTTCAAGTTTACGTTTGTTGAAGAGTCCAATACTGAAACTTAATTATGACCTTCCTCCATGATTCAGACCGTTTGTAATTTTATGGTAACACTAAACATTTTCGTTTCAAATGACACCTTCACGTTTTATTGCATTATGATTTATTGTCAAAACTGTACAATCAGCCTTCGCCTGTGTACTACAGTAACCTTTTCACTACGTTTTCCAAATGCGACTGCCTCACAAAATGCCAATTTAACAGACCAACGGGAACATTCACAGACAGTTGCCATGGTACATAATTATCATGTGCATAAATCGACAAGGGACAGGGGGAACCCACCCGCCTTGTCCCCCCCCCCCCATTTTAAGCGGGAGACATTGTTGGTCCCCCCCCCCACACTTTTTCTTCCCCAAATAAAAATTGTAGCCCACAATAACTATTGTAGCGAAATTATGGTCCGAAGTTAGGACGCCCTCTGTTAAGTTAGTTTATTCATGAATGCCGTGACGTATGCATACCGCGCGGCTATATAAGCAGTGCGCGGTGGCGGGAAGGTCACTCTGTGGCGGGAAACAGTTCGAGGCAGTAAAAGTCCTGTGAGTAGTCCTGTACCGTCCGTCATTGTTCCGTCCGTCGTAGTTACTGCAGAGTCCGCACAGAGTCACGTCTGTTGAAGTCCCGTTAGAGTCACGTCCAGTTTACTGTTAGCCTTGTGAGTAGTTCAGTGTAGTCCAGTGCACCCTTTTCTTGGAGTAAATAGACCAAGTCACCGCAGATATTTAAGCTCTCCCAATTGACCAGGAATTGTGTCTACTCAGTGTGTTACCCTGTTTAGTTGATTATAGGCGCCACTACAGTAATCCTACCAAGGTGATCTTTGTTTTAATAAATCATTATTCCAATTACACATCGAGTTTGAGTGCTGTTTTGTAGAAACATCAGACCCCAGTCCCATCCCATTCTCCTGTGTCCGCCCAAGTACAACCCCGGTGTGTGGAAGGAAGCAGCTGCGAGCGCCTGGCGGTAGACTGCCCCAAAACGGACCTGTTCCCCTGGCCTTCCCTACAACCGCTCGTCGGGTCGGCAGAGGGCAATCCCAGGCTACGTCGACACAGGCCGCCACAAATGGTGTCAGAAGTGGGATAGGCGCTGCAGTAAATTTCTTGACACACTACCTACCTAGGGAATCACCTACCTAGGAACATCACCTACCTAGGCAAGATGGTGAAGAATTTATTGATTGACTTTGAAGAAGAGATCGTAACCCCACAACTAGCCAGACAGGGGGAAGAAGACGGACTACCGTCCATAAGTACATCTGATCTTGAGATGGAAGAAAAAATTGAGCTGCTGGAGGCAGAACTGCGTCTTCTTAGGCTATGCCAGCAAAGCAGAAACTGAAAGGAGGACTCGGGCTTTGGAGGGTCAGCGCGCACGTCGTTGACAACTCATTTTTGTAATGGCTCGACTCGGAAATTACTTACGCCTATTCCCCCATCCCATGTGAGGCCGACTCCAAAACCACGCACCAAGCTTCACAGCACATTAGTCCGTCTACAACCAACAACGCCTGCAACCACAGAGCAGAGTAAAATAACCTACGATGAACAGGAGGACCCCAGTCTTCGAGTGTCGGAGCAACGAAGTTCGACTGCATCCAGTCAGCAGAGTAGCGAGGGGAATGATCCTGCACAGGCGAGTAAAGACGAGAGCAAGTCCCTACCAAGGGGTGAAACCAAGGTACAGGCGAAAAGTAGTCACCCAAGCGTGATGTCAAGACGACCAAATATAATCCCAGACAGGTACACTGGCAAAAGCCCATGGAGAGACTACAAACAACACTTCGAGGCGTGCAGGTCTGCAAATGGATGGACGGAGAAGCAGGCCGAAGTATTCTTGGCGGCTAGTCTCCAAGGAGCCGTAATGCCAAAGGTGCTGGATCAAATCCGACTTACGCTGACCTGATTGACAGACTAGAGAAGAGGTTTGGACCAGGAAGAGTGTCGGAAAATCATCTGATGGAACTACGTCATAGGCGTCAGGGCCCCAAGGAGACTCTCCAAGAGTTAGGACAGGCCATAAGGGAGCTGTCGGCCCTGGCGTATCCCGAGCTATCGGAAGAAGGGCGCGATCGCCTAGCAAGGGGACATTTTTCTGACGCTATCGAAAATCAGGGTATTCGAGAAGGCATTTTCCGCGCCAGGCCCACCACCTTGGACGAAGCTGTGAGGGCTGCCCTTGCCACCGAAAGTTTTCACAGAATAGAAGAACAGCGAGGGAGCAAATTTCCAAAATTTGCAAGAGTCTTGGGGGGCGACGTCGAGGCAGCTTTGGAGGGGCTGAGAAAGGAAACGCAGGAGAATTACCGGCGTGTAGAGAGTGATGGCCTCAAGATTCAGGAAGAAATTAAATCTTGGATGGAAAAAGGAAGCGGACTTAGGGGCGCCTACTCAGGTGAAGGAACGAAAGAGATCAATTTTGCTGATGTGGTTTGCTACAACTGCCAGCGAAAGGGACATTACGCTCGGAACTGTGAAAGACCGCCTGCAAAGAAGAGGCAGACCTCGGGAAACGAGCAGCAGCCGGCCCAGGGGCCCGAGGGACGGCTGAAGGAGTCCAAGGGCCAAGCAACAGTGTACCAAGAGAAAAACTAACAGAGTCTATCGGTGGAAAGCGTTCACTGATTTCTCCAATGATAGCCGGGGCTAGAAGTGGTTTGTTTGTGCCAGCGACAATACGGGGCAGACTGGTAAATTAACTGGTGGACACCGGCGCAACCGACACACTACTGTCATCTACGCTCTTTTACGAGATGGCGAAATGGCGAAAAGGTGAAGTATACAGACACCCGGGGAAGCAACTTCTGCGCAAGAGTGGTGGTGGAGCGGACAACAAGAATCCCGCCTGGGCATGAGGCGTTAGTTCCAGGGCGTCTAGCAGGAAAGACGCAGGCGACTGGTCTTGGCATCATGGAGCCTGCCGACAGGAGCGAAATGACGGCAAAGGGCATTGTCATGGTATGCCTGCTAGTGACATTGGATGAAGAAGTGGTGCCGATAAGGGTGTTTAACCCTGGTAAGAGAAAATGTGTGGTAAGGAGAGGAACGACAGCGGGAATGCTCACCTCGGTAGGAGCAGATGACATCGAGGAGACTCAAGACACTTCACCAGAACCTAGGGATGGCAGAACCTAGGGATGGCACCTTGCTGATTTGTACGACAGGAGCAAGAGAAGCGTTGACCAGAAGTACCACAACAAGATAGGAAAACTACTCCAGGATTTTCAAGATGTATTTTCCACTGGGGATACCGATATTGGCCGCACAAACCTAGTACGTAACAGGATCAACACCGGCAATTCCCCACCAATACGAGAACGTCCACGACGGTATCCTACACAGGAGCAACAGGAAATTCATCACCAGGTGCAGGCAATGCTGCAAAATGGCATAATCGAACGCAGCGATAGCCCTTGGGCATCGAACGTGGTGTTGGTCAGAAAGAAAGACGGGACAAAGAGGTTCTGCGTCGATTATCGTCGCCTGAACGCCATGACTATTAAAGACTCCTATCCGATTCCTCGTATTGACGACTCGCTGGATTCCCTTTGGTATTGGCAGGTGGAGTTGGAAGAGGAGGCCAAGCAGAAATCTGCC